TCCAGTTTAAAAGAGTTGAGTCTGTGAATTTAAAGTATAACAAAGTGAGAAAAATTAAGTGAAAGTGAAAGAAACTCCAAAATGGGAATACTATAGTAGTTCTGGTAACAACCAGGGATTCACTCACTTTGGAGGGATTTCCTCTCACTTCCTGTTTTGACTATGGGAAAGAACCTGAAATGGAATCTCCCCAATGGAATACAGATAGAAAAAAAAATATGGCAAGGGTTATAATTAGAGATGAGCGAATTTCTCAAAAATTCGATTCGGCTGATTCGGCGAATTCCAGTGTGAAATTCGATTCGATGCGAATTTCTTCGCTACGAAGATGACTTATAAAAAGGGTTTCTAGGCTTCAGAGAGCCTTTAAATTAGTGCAGAACACTGTACCTTTAATTTAAATGCCCTTGGAGATGAGGAAAGAGAAGGAGAAGGAGAAGGAGAAGGAGAAGGATGAGAAGAAGGAGAAGGAGAAGGATGAGAAGAAGGAGAAGGAGAAGGATGAGAAGAAGGAGAAGGAGAAGGATGAGAAGAAGGAGAAGGAGAAGGATGAGAAGAAGGAGAAGGAGAAGGATGAGAAGAAGGAGAAGGATGAGAAGAAGGAGAAGAGAAGGATGAGAAGAAGGAGAAGGAGAAGGATGAGAAGAAGGAGTAGGATGAGAAGAAGGAGAAGGATGAGAAGAAGGATGAGAAGAAGGATGAGAAGAAGGATGAGAAGAAGGAGAAGGATGAGAAGAAGGACAGTTCTGTGACAGTTTCTCTCTATTTATGACAGTTCTGGGACATTCACTCCATACAGCTGTTTCAACCGCTGTATGGAGGGAATGTCATGGAACTGTCAGAAATAGACTATTAATGACAGTTCTGGGACTGTCCTTCCATGCAGCGGTTGAAACATTGTATGTATTTGTTTCCATAAATGGATCCATTTATGGAAACAAATACATACAAGTTTCAACCGCTGTATGGAAGGACAGTCCCAGAACTGTCATTAATAGTCTATTTCTGACAGTTCCATGACATTCCCTCCATACAGCGGTTGAAACAGCTGTATGGAGTGATTGTCCCAGAACTGTCAGAAATAGTCTATTTCTGACAGTTCTGGGACATTCACTCCATACAGCTGTTTCAACCGCTGTATGGAGGGAATGTCATGGAACTGTCAGAGTCCCAGAACTGTCATTAATAGTCTATTTCTGACAGTTCCATGACATTCCCTCCATACAGCTGTTTCAACCGCTGTATGGAGGGAATGTCATGGAACTGTCAGAAATAGACTATTTATGACAGTTCTGGGACTGTCCTTCCATACAGCGGTTGAAACATTGTATGTATTTGTTTCCATAAATGGATCCATTTATGGAAACAAATACATACAATGTTTCAACCGCTGTATGGAAGGACAGTCCCAGAACTGTCATTAATAGTCTATTTCTGACAGTTCCATGACATTCCCTCCATACAGCGGTTGAAACAGCTGTATGGAGTGATTGTCCCAGAACTGTCAGAAATAGTCTATTTATGACAGTTCTGGGACTGTCCTTCCATGCAGCGGTTGAAACATTGTATCTATTTTTTTTCCATAAATGACATTCTGCAAATACACTTAGAGGAGCGCTGCAGATACACTTTTTGCCGGCTTGGAATTAATCTTATTTTCATCCTACTTCTTCTTCTTCATCCTCATCCTCATAAGAAGAAAAAGAAGAAGTAGGATGAAAATAAGAATAATTCCAAGTCGGCAAAAAGTGTATCTGCAGCGCTCCTCTAAGTGTATCTGCAGAATGTCATTTATGGAAAGAAAAATAGATACAATGTTTCAACCGCTCTATGGAAGGACAGTCCCAGAACTGTCATTAATAGTCTATTTCTGACAGTTCTATGACATTCCCTCCATACAGCGGTTGAAACAGCTGTATGGAGTGAATGTCCCAGAACTGTCAGAAATAGACTATTTATGACAGTTTGGGACTGTCCTTCCATACAGCGGTTGAAACATTGTATGTATTTGTTTCCATAAATGGATCCATTTATGGAAACAAATACATACAATGTTTCAACCGCTGTATGGAAGGACAGTCCCAGAACTGTCATTAATAGTCTATTTCTGACAGTTCCATGACATTCCCTCCATACAGCGGTTTGAAACAGCTGTATGGAGTGATTGTCCCAGAACTGTCAGAAATAGTCTATTTATGACAGTTCTGGGACTGTCCTTCCATACAGCGGTTGAAACATTGTATCTATTTTTTTCCATAAATGACATTCTGCAAATACACTTAGAGGAGCGCTGCAGATACACTTTTTGCCGGCTTGGAATTAATCTTATTTTCATCCTACTTCTTCTTCTTCATCCTCATCCTCATAAGAAGAAAAAGAAGAAGTAGGATGAAACTAAGAATAATTCCAAGCCGGCAAAAAGTGTATCTGCAGCGCTCCTCTAAGTGTATCTGCAGAATGTCATTTATGGAAAAAAAATAGATACAATGTTTCAACCGCTGTATGGAGTGAATGTCCCAGAACTGTCATAAATAGTCTATTTCTGACAGTTCTGGGACATTATTCTTCTTTTCATCCTACTTCTTCTTCTTCTTCTTCATCCTCATCCTCATCCTCTTCTTCTGAGGATGAAGATGAAGAAGAAGAAGAAAGTAGGATGAAAAGAAGAATAATTCCAAGCCGGCAAAAAGTGTATGTGCAGAGTTCCTCTATTTCTGACAGTTCTCTCACAGCTTCTTCACATGAACAGTGGTTGAAACATCTGTATCCTAATGTAAACTAATAGATACAATGTTTCAACCGCTAAACATGTGTTCCTTCTGTCAGAGAACTGTCAGAAATAGCGGAGCTCACTGCAGGGACACTTTTGCCGGCTGATCGGGAAATGTTCGATTCGCGCACCCGAAGTAGGCAAAATTTCGGTTTCGCCGTGAATCGAATATTTCCTGAAATTCGACTCGAATTCCGGTTCGCCTGGTTCGATTCGCTCATCTCTAGTTATAATCCTCCCTTGCTCTATCCAAAATGAAAACAAACATGTCTTGTTTTCTACTTTAATTTGTACTTGGGTATCATTCTTAAAGCCACACATAGGGGTTGTTCCACACATTGCGGATGTTCATTTTGTCTCAGCTTGTGGCTAGGTGTAGAGCATGGTGCGGCTGCATTAATTACTATTATATTCTAAATGCAAACAAAAGGTTAAGTACTTCAGGGTATATAAATCAGTAACAAAGATGCGGAAATCGGGCTTCCTGAGGACGACCAATCAGGTTGAAAGATGTCGGGGCTTAGTGATGTACTTCCAATCACGAGGTTTCTGGGCAGTGGAACGCATCCAAAGTTCCGCCATTGGACGATGATAGCTGTCAGGAATGGACTGGCCAGCAATGGTGGGACTCACCTGCCTTTTGATCTGCAGTACCAGGGCTGGCCAGCGGATGCTCCCAGCAATCAGAGACTCAACTTTGCAGCCAGCTAACACCTGGAACTGATTATGCTGGGGTATTTAAGGGATGGCCAGACCCACAGACTCTGCCTTGGTGTTGTGTTTGTCCTGGGCCTGTATCCTGTTTCTGGCCTGCATCCTGTTTCTGAACCGCTGCTGACTTCTCCTGCTCTGATCCCGGCTCGCTCCTGACCATCCCTCTGCCTGACCCTCTGTACCACGCTGCTTGCTACCTGTTCTGATCCCTGGCTTGTGACCCTGACCATCCCTCTGCCTGACCCTCTGTACTACGCTGCTTGCTACCTGCTGAACCTGGCCTGTGACCCCGACCAATCTCCGCTTGCTCCCCCTGTACCTACCTGCCCTATTGATATTGACCCGGCCTGCCTGACGACGCTTGCTTGTATGTACTGTTATCTGTGGGTGGTTGGTTTGGTTTGGTTTGGTTGCACTGTATTATGTTTTAGTATTGCACTGCGTTTATGTTTGTATTGTTAGTGTTAATAAATTATATTGTTTATAACATATCTGAGGTCTGCGTTTCCCTGCGTCAGCCCACACACCTCTGGTCTCACCTGGGAGCCCTGACATTACACCAAGGCCAATCCTGACCAGAAGTGGCTGCACAGGGAAGCCATCTTGGCTTGTTGCTGGGAAGGATGGATCTGGATGAGGTTGTGTATTTATATCTGCTAGTGTTTGATGACAGGGAGTATGCTTATCAAACTCTGAAGGAGTATCCCAGGGATCAACTACTAGAATGTATACGGCTCGCTCATGTTCTAGTAGATCAGGGCACAGAGTTCTCTGAGGTGCAGCCTTTGATTGAGGTTTGTGCTGAGTTGGTTTCATCTGGTTCCCCCGAATGCAGGGATGAATTTTTGCCACCATTTAGTGCAGACCAGGTAGAGTCCCTGGTGTGGTTATTAGAGGATGATGTGGGTTACTTTCTGGAGCGGTATTCCACATGTTCACCACAGACACTAAGAGATTGTATAAATGCAGTGCAGTCATTGACAGACAGGCTTTGTGTAAGCTCAGCTTTGTTCAACCCATACTGCAGACATGGACAGACTTGTTGCACCCAGCCTCAGTCAGCTTACAAAAACCCAGTCCTGCTTCTAACTCTACTCCTGTATTCCCAACAGCTCCTCCAGTTACAGCCCAGTATACTTGGCTCTACCGCATGTCAGTACCCTGTTCCCACTCGCTGCACCTATCCTGCCTTTAACCCTGTAAAAAAGCCCTCTGTAGCAACTGCTCCCTCTCCTGTTCCATCCTCCAGTTTTTCTCTGTCTCCAGCTGCTCCATTCGTTTGCAGACCTGCGTTTACTTGCAGTGCTCCAGTAGTTAAAACCAGAAAAAAAGCGAAAATTCTTTCCAACCAATACCATCCTGCCAGTATCCAAACCGGTGAACCTGCCTTCCGTGGTTCAGCCTGAAGCCTCTACTCGGCCTGATGCCTCTACTCGGCCTGAAGCCTCTACTCGGCCTGAAGCCTCTACTCAGCCTGAAGCCTCTACTCAGCCTGAAGCCTCTACTCAGCCTGAAGCCTCTCTTCAGCCTGATGCCTCTCTTCAGCCTGATGCCTCTCTTCAGCCTGATGCCTCTCTTCAGCCTGAAGCCTCTACTCAGCCTGAAGTCTCTACTCAGCCTGAAGCCTCTACTCAGCCTGAAGCCTGCATTCAGCCTGATGCCGCTACTCAGCATGATGAACTGATCCAGCCCGACGATCCTATTAGGCCAGTTGACTCGATGCCTGCTGTTGATCCAGATGATCCGGTACCTGATCCAGTGCCCGCTGTCGTGCCAATTGACTCAGAGCCCGCTGTCATACCTGGTGACCCGGTGCCCACTGCCTTGCCAGATGACGCGGTGCCCGCTGGCAAGCCAAATGACCTGATGCCTGGTGACCCAGTGCCCGCTGTCATACCTGGTGACCCGATGCCCGCTGTCGAGCCAGACAATCCGATACCTGATGACCCGGGTGCCCACTGTCGTGCCTGTTGACTCGGAGCCCACTGTCTTGCCAGACGACTCGGTGCCCGCTGTTCCGCCAGTCGACTCGGTGCCCGTAGTCTTGCCAGACGACTCGGTGCCCGCAGTCTTGCCAGACGACTCGGTGCCCGCAGTCTTGCCAGACGACTCAGTGCCCGCAGTCTTGCCAGACGACTCGGTGCCCGCAGTCTTGCCAGACGACTCGGTGCCCGCAGTCCCGCCAGACGACTCGGTGCCCGCAGTCTTGCCAGACGACTCGGTGCCCGCAGTCTTGCCAGACGACTCGGTGCCCGCAGTCTTGCCAGACGACTCGGTGCCCGCAGTCTTGCCAGTTGACTCGGTGCCCGCTGTTCCGCCAGTTGACTCGGTGCCCGCAGTCTTGCCAGACGACTCGGTGCCCGCAGTCTTGCCAGACGACTCGGTGCCCGCAGTCTTGCCAGACGACTCGGTGCCCGCAGTCTTGCCAGACGACTCGGTGCCCGCTGTTCCGCCAGTTGACTCGATGCCCGCAGTCTTGCCAGACGACTCGGTGCCCACTGTCGTGCCTGGTGACTCGGTGCCCGCCGCTTCGCCTGGGGGCCCGAGACCTGTTGCTCCGCCTGAGGGGCCCGAGACCTGTCGCTCCATCTGGGGGTCCGGCGCCCGCCGCTCCGCCTGAGGGCCCGAGACCTGTCGCTCCATCTGGGGGTCCGGCGCCCGTCGCTCCGCCTGAGGGCCCGAGACCTGTCGCTCCATCTGGGGGTCCGGCGCCCGCCGCTCCGCCTGAGGGCCCGAGACCTGTCGCTCCATCTGGGGGTCCGGCGCCCCGCCGCTCCGCCTGAGGGCCAGAGACCTGTCACTCCATCTGGGGGTCCGGTGCCCGCCGCTCCGCCTGAGGGCCCAAGACCTGTAGTTCCGCCCGGGGCCCGAGGCCTGTCACCCCGCCCGGGGGCCCGAGGCCTGTCGCCCCGCCGGGGGCCCGAGGCCTGTCGCCCCGCCCGGGGGCCTGGTGCCTGTCGCCCCGCCCGGGGGCCCGGTGCCTGTCGCCCCGCCCGGGGGCCCGGTACCTGCCGCTCCGCCCGAGGGCCCGAGGCCTGTCACCCCGCCCGGGGGCCCGGTGCCTGTCGCCCCGCCCGGGGGCCCGGTGCCTGTCGCCCCGCCCGGGGGCCCGGTGCCTGCCGCCCCGCCCGGGGGCCCGGTGCCTGCCGCTCCGCCCGGGGGCCTGGTGCCTGCCGCTCCGCCTGGTGGCCCGCTGCCTGCTGCTTCTCCTGGTAGCCTGATGTGCCTCTGCCCGGAGTCCAGCCCGATGTGCCTCTGCCCGGAGTCCAGCCCGATGTGCCTCTGCCCGGAGTCCAGCCCGATGTGCCTCTGCCCGGAGTCCAGCCCGATGTGCCTCTGCCCGGTGTGCCTCTGCCCGGAGTCCAGCCCGGTGTGCCTCTGCCCAAAGTCCAGCCTGATGTGCCTCTGCCCGGTGTGCCTCTGCCCGGAGTCCAGCCCGGTGTGCCAGTCTTTGATATCCCGCCAGTTACCAGACCCGGGCGGTGGAACATTTTTCCCAGCTAGGACTGTTTGGAGCGTCCTGAGGCCGCTCCTTGAGGGGGGGGGTACTGTCAGGAATGGACTGGCCAGCAATGGTGGGACTCACCTGCCTTTTGCTCTGCAGTACCAGGGCTGGCCAGCGGATGCTCCCAGCAATCAGAGACTCAACTTTGCAGCCAGCTAACACCTGGAACTGATTATGCTGGGGTATTTAAGGGATGGCCAGACCCACAGACTCTGCCTTGGTGTTGTGTTTGTCCTGGGCCCTGTATCCTGTTTCTGTCCTGCATCCTGTTTCTGAACCGCTGCTGACTTCTCCTGCTCTGATCCCGGCTCGCTCCTGACCATCCCTCTGCCTGACCCTCTGTACCACGCTGCTTGCTACCTGTTCTGATCCCTGGCTTGTGACCCTGACCATCCCTCTGCCTGACCCTCTGTACTACGCTGCTTGCTACCTGCTGAACCTGGCCTGTGACCCCGACCAATCTCCGCTTGCTCCCCCTGTACCTACCTGCCCTATTGATATTGACCCGGCCTGCCTGACGACGCTTGCTTGTATGTACTGTTATCTGTGGGTGGTTGGTTTGGTTTGGTTTGGTTTGGTTGCACTGTATTATGTTTTAGTATTGCACTGCGTTTATGTTTGTATTGTTAGTGTTAATAAATTATATTGTTTATAACATATCTGAGGTCTGCGTTTCCCTGCGTCAGCCACACACCTCTGGTCTCACCTGGGAGCCCTGACAATAGCAGTTAACCTGGCATATACAAGCTGAATATACTGGGTGCCAGTTCAGAGGGCACCGTTTTATGTGAGTGCAATTTGTTATTCAATTAATAAAAACAACATACGGGTTTTACGCTATGGGATCCTCTCTTCTTTTTTGAGCAAAATTTCCATCCCAAGTTGTTCAGCTTTGAAAGTTCATTAGACCGGATGGTAACGGGGTTGCCCAACAAACACTGTTGACCATACTAGAGATAGTTGGTCATCCACACAGGGTGAGTGTGAATTCATGTGCTGTACAGGAGCACTGTCAAGTGGAGCACTTTATTATTATTTGAGCCCCAGCACTTTTGCACTAATTGGGACATAATACACCAATTTTTTTCAAGACTGGTTTCATTTATAAGTGTTCATATTTTTTTAATACATATTTATTTATTTCAGGTACTTATATAGGGCTGTCAATTTATGCAGCACTTTACATATATATTGTACATTCACATCAGTCATTAACCCTCAAGGAGCGTACAATCTAAGGTCCCTAACTTACATTCATACATACACATACTAGGGCCAATTTAGACAGGATCCAGTTAACCTACCAGCATGTCTTTGGAATGTGAGAGGAAACCGGAGTACCCGGAGGAAACCTTGGAAACACAGGGAGAACCTGCAAACTCCAGGCAGGTGGTGCCATAGCTGAGATTCAAACCAACAACCCTAGTACTGCCAGGCGGAAGTGCTAACCATTCAGCCACATATGCTCAGTTAAAGGTTTTGTATGGCAAATGTACTGTGGTTTATAGACACATATTTATAAGGACTGGTTTCATATTTGTTGAATATTTTATTATTATTATTATTATTATACAGGATTTATATAGCACTAACAGTTTACGCAGCGCTTTATAGGTGCACATGTCAATATAGGTGACGTGCAGTTAAGGTTTTTTGTATGGAATATGATCCACAGGCAAGTTAGTACAGTCTGGGGTTACCAAAGACAGTCTACAGGTGTTGCCAGGTCTTTTGGGCTCTTGACATCAGAACTGTCAGACTCAAAGCTTTTGGAGGGCGGAGACTCGTGCACCAGAGGCAGCAGGAACCAGTCAGTGGAGGCCTTGTGCATCGGAGGAAAATCGGTGGAGTCAAACACCTCCCAGTTATCGGCAGGCTTTCTGGAGCAGTCACCACTTAATGCCCAAGGTTTGAGCATGTTTCAGTCAGTCTTCTCTTTACAAGGTTTGGCCCCTCAGAGATCAGATCCTAGACAGGAGTCGGTGAAAAAGGCTGCCCAGCCACATGGCATGGGGCACATTTCCACCTGGGTTCCAGCTTGCTGCCTCTGTTGTGTTTAGTGTTCTTTGCCAACACCCGGTCCAGATGTTTTACATGGTCTTCGAATGTCTTGGAGAAAATTATGATATCATCAAGATACACTAGCACAGTCTTGAAGTTAAAAGTCTCCAAACATCTTTCCATTAAGCATTGGAGAATGCTGGGGGCATTGCTGAAGCCAAAGGGCATCTGATTAAACTTGAACAGTCCCAAGGGCGTGATGAAGGCAGTCCTCTCCCGTTCTTGGTTTCAGACCAAAACTTGCCAGTAGCCACTAGCCAGGTTGAGAGTGGAGAAAAAACTTGGCTTGCGCAAAGGCCATTAAAGATTCCTCTACCTGAGGCATTGGGTAGGTATCCTTGTGGGTGCAGGTGTTTTGGAAAGTCCAGACAGAACTGAAGGCTGCCATTCTTCTTTTGCACCAGGATGTCAGGGGAGGCACAAGGACTGTGGCTCTCCCGAATCACCCCACTTTGCAACATATTGCAGAGCAAGTCCTTGACCTCTTGGCACAGTGCTGGGGGAATGTGGTGACCACTCCCAGATGGGCAGTATATCCCCTGTGTGGAAGGTCCACTGAAGACTCTTCCCCAGTGGACCTTGGACAAGTTTCAGGCCACCAGCCATTCTTCTAGTGTTAAGAGATCCTTTACACAACAGTGGCCCCTTGTAGCTTTTTGTGGGCCCCAATGGGGAGTGACCAGACAACCTCTTGTAGGGGTGACAACAGTAGCATCTGCTTGGGAGGTGTGAAGACTACCCCTGCTTGCTCTGGTTGTTTCTTGACTGCATTTTATTGGCCCTCAAAGGCCTGGGGCACTCTGAGCCATACTGCTCATAAGCCACAGTTTTGGCCCGGAGGCTGGAATGTTGGTATTTGGCCAACAGGTAAGGTAAGTCCAGGTCTTTCAGAAAGTTCATGCCCAACACAACAGGCATTGCTGGGTTAACTGGGCCCCAGGTCACTGCCACACCTACCCACTGCACTACCTGGTCCTCAGTATGGATTCTATCCCAGATGATGCCTTCAACCTGTCAGAGCTTTTGCGAAATACAAAAAAAAATATATATATATATAGGGGGAGGGATCAGAGGAAGCCAAAGTCATCAGCAAATGAAGGTTAGAGGGTGCTATAACCATAATACCTAAACCCAGGAGGAGTGGACTAGCAAAACATAATCGCAGCCACAGTGAAACTAAGAAGGGAATACTATGCTCCAGGACAAAACTGTGAGGCGTGTACAAAAATGCTAGAAGTTTAGCTAACAGAATGGATGATCTGGAGCTGCTGATATACAAGGAGGATTTTGACTTCATGGGAATAACAGAAACGTGGTTTGACAGCTCACGATTGGTCAGCATCTATCCAGGGGTATTCCCTGTATCGGGGAGACAGGGAGAGTATCAGAGGAGGGGGTTTGCCTGTATATCAAAAATGATTTGCTAGTAAATGTGAGTGATGACATTGCATATGGGGCACGGTTGAGATGGAATCCCTGTGGATGGAACTCCAAAGGGAAGAGACATGCTGGAAAAATAGTGGGGGTACAGGCCCCCTAACCTGAAGGATGAGGATGCATTGCATCTCCTATCATAGTTAGAAATGGCAGCGAGGCAGGGCAATGTCATCACAATAGGGAACGTCAGCTATCCAGATATTGACTGGGCAGAAGGAACAGCTCACTCATATAAGGCTTGTCATTTCTTAAATGTCTTACAGGACAACTTCTTAAACTAGTTAGTGGATTCCCTGACTAGAAAGAATGCATTGCTAGATCTATTAATAACAC